GCCACCCTGGCTCTCTTGTTCTCTCTCTGTCTCCAGCCATGCAGGTTCAGTATAGGTCAGCACTCAGCACTCACAGAAACTTCTGTTAAACGCCTGGCAGCAAGAGCACAGGGAAGGAAGACGAGGAATTCTCTCACTGTCTCTCCTTTTCTTTCTTTCTCTGTTTCCCTCTGTCATCTGTCACTCATTTCCTCTCATTTTCTCTAGAGTCCCTTTCTTTTATTGGCACCTGTGATAAAGATGAGCAAAAAAGACTAAAATAAATTATACAAATACTGAGCTATATTGTATGCCAAAAAAAAAGATGGCCATTGCAAAATGTTGATTTTGTGGTCAATTAACCATTAATTTGTGGATTTGGATGTGTGCTTTGGGTTATTGTCTTCCTGGAAGATCTACTTGGGGCCAAGATTCAGCCTCCTGGCAGAGGCAACCAGGTTTTTGGCTAAAATGTCCATGGTAATAGGTAAAGTGCATGATGCCGTTGACCTTAAAAAAAGGGACACAGGACCATTGGAAGCAAAATAGCGCCATAACTTCAAAGATCCCCCACCATATTTTACAGTAGGGATTAGGTATTTTTTGCATATGCATTGTTCAACACTGGTGTGTGTGGCTAAAGAGCTCTATTTTTATGTCATCCAACAATGTAAACGTCTGGAGTTTGCTAAACGGCATTGGCACTTGGATTGGAACTGGTGCTACAGTCAGATGACATGAAAATATCGCTCTTTGGCTACGCACACCAGTGGTGAGTTTGGCGTCGAAATAAGGATGCATAAGCAGAAAAGAACCCCACACGTACTGTAAAATATGGTGGTGGATCTTTGATTTTATGGAGCCATTTTGCTTCCACAGGTCCTGGGGCCATTGTTCAAGGAAAAATCCACTCAAACCACTTATTCCTATAATTTACAGTGTTAAATAACACTAATATGTGAGAACAATATTTTTTGAGAAACAAATGTTTAATTTTGTCATTATAATAAGGTTGGTAGCAACATGTGAAAATCGTTGTGGAAATGTGTTGCAGCTCAAGTCGAATACAAAACCCACAATGCAATGCTCTCTCTATGGGCTGGCTTGCTAGCTAGCTAGCTAGGTAGCTAGCAAACGTAGCGACACACAATAATACCAAAGTCAATATCAGCATGTGAAGTAGCTAGTTGGCTGTAAAATCGCCTAAACAAACTGTACTATCAATTTAGGAGTCTACAGTCTCAACATGTTCAATATGCAGATCGATGTTCCTCGCAGAGTGGAGTCTGACATTTGCAACGGCACTATGCAATGCACCCTGGACTGAAGAGGCAGACAAATAGGAGAAATGTGGTGGACCCTCTGTTAAATTACACAATTCTCAAGTTAGAAATATCAAAAAAAAATATGATCAATTGCTTATTCGAGAGAAGACAACCTACCGCGTTATGACATCGGCCAGAATTGAAATCTGACGTGTGATAGATGTTTTCGTGATCTAAAAGTCGTATTCCTATTAATTTCCAGTGTAGTGAGAGCGGCTTTATCGCAATTCTATGTCATACCGGACACATTTCTGCCTGCTTGGCCGGAAATAGCTCAGATAACATTCAAAATTAATCTTTCCTTTAAGGTCAACTGCATCATGAACTTTGCCCAGTACCAGGTAATTTCAGCCGAAAAACTGGTTGCCTCTGCCAGGAAGCTGAAACTTGGGTGCAAGTGGATCTTCCAGCAAGACAATAACCCCAAGCACACATCAAAATCCACAAAGAAATTGTTAATTGGCCACAAAATCAACATTTTGCAATGACCATATCAGTCTCCAGACTTGAAACCCATTGAAAACCAGTGGTTTGAATTGAAGAGGGCGGTCCATATGCGCAGATGAAGGATATCAAGGATCTAAAAATATTCTGTATGGAGGAATGGTCTATGATCCCTTCCAATGTGTTCTCCAATCTCATTTTAGAAAAAGGCTTAGTGCCGTTATCCTCGCAAGGTGAGGTATTGAAAGGTGTTGAAAACAGGGGACTCCAACCTAAGTGTATGTAAACTTCCAACTTTAACTGTAAGTAGAAATGTAAAGGAACATAATGCTACTGTTTCTATGGGAGAGCTCATCTTTCCCTGGTCTGTCCCCACTACCCATTGCCCTCCAAATCACCTGTCCACAGTCTATTTGATGAGGAGTCTCCCTCGTCTCCTCCAGCCTGCCAGCTGCCTGACTGGACAGTGTTAGAGACCGTAATGGCTGCCCAGAGAGCCTCCCTGAACTGGGCCAAAATGGCTCCTGAGTTGACCATGAGAGGGCACTTTTCTAAAGCAGCTACATCTACATGAAAGGAGAATCCCGACAGCCAATAATTCTGAAACCTAACTGTATGAGAGAAAAAAAATGTGTTAAACAAAATGTCTTTATCTTAACAAATGTATTAGTATAAAATAAAATAATTACAAAAAATCTAGCATACAATATAGCTCAGTATTTGTATTATTTATTTTATACCATATTTTTTGCTCATCTTTATCAAGGGTGCCAATAATTATGGACCCCACTGTATGTGTGTGTTATCTAAGTGAATGTACGCCATCTTGAACTAAATGTGTGCGTTTGTGCGCATGTTACAGACAGTGTGCACATACAATACAGTATGTGTAATCTCGGTAGCTGTGATGCTATCCAATTTGTGCACTGCTTTTTATACAGTACTGTAGATGCAGACCCTATCCATCAGAGAGCTGATAGCAGCTGGCTTACACAACCCATGGCCAGCAGCTATCTCTATCTCTCACTCCTTCATCCTCTCTTTCTCAATCTGAGGGGCGGGGAACATCGCTACTGAACACCCTCTCCTTTTTTCTCTTCCTCCCCCTCTCTTTATGTACTCCTCCCTTTCCACTCCACCTCTCTTTTCCCCACTCACTCTCTACTCCTTATCTCTCCTCTCTCATATTCTATTTTCCCTCCCTTTCCCCACATAACTCTTTCCCCACTTCCTCCCCATCTCTATCCATTTCTTCCCAGGCATAGCCAGGAGCCAAATTTTGGCCCATTCCTCCGGACAGAGCTGGTGTAACTGAGTCAGGTTTGTAGGCCTCCTTGCTCGCACACACTTTTTCAGTTCTGGCCACACATTTTTTATAGGATTGAGGTCAGGGCTTTGTGATGGCCACTCCAATACCTTTACTTTGTTGTCCTTAAGCCATTTTGCCACAACTTTGGAAGTATGCTTGGGGTCATTGTCCATTTGGAAGACCCATTTGCGACCAAGCTTTGACTTCCTGACTGATGTCTTGAGATGTTGCTTCAATATATCCACATAATGCCATCTATTTTGTGAAGTGCACCAGTCCCTCCTGCAGCAAAGCACCCCCACAGCATGATGCTACCACCCCCGTGCTTCACGGTTGTGATGGTGTTCTTCGGCTTGCAAGCTACCCCTTTTTTCCTCCAAACATAATGATTGTCATTATGGCCAAACAGTTCTATTTTTGTTTCATCAGACCAGAGGACATTTCTCCAAGAAGTACGATCTTTGTCCCCATGTGCAGTTGCAAACCGTAGTCTGTCTTTTTTACGGCTGTTTTGGAGCAGTGGCTTCTTCCTTGCTTAGCGGCCTTTCAGGTTATGTCGATATAGGACTCGTTTTACTGTGGATATAGATACTTTTGTACCTGTTTCCTCCAGCATCTTCACAAGGTCCTTTGCTGTTGTTCTGGGATTGATTTGCACTTTTCGCACCAAAGTACGTTAATCTCTAGGAGACAGAATGCGTCTCCTTCCTGAGCGGTATGAAGGCTGCGTGGTCCCATGGTGTTTATACTTGCGTACTATTGTTTGTACAGATGAACGTGGTACCTTCAGGCATTTGGAAATTGCTCCCAAGGATGAACCAGACTTGTGGAGGTCTGATTTGGCTGATTTCTTTAGATTTTCCCATTATGTCAAGAAAAGAGGCACTGAGTTTGAAGGTTGGCCTTGAAATACATCCACAGGTACACCTCCAATTGACTTACATTATGTCAATTAGCCTATCAGAAGCTTCTAAAGCCATGACATAATTTTCTGGAATTTTCCAAGCTGTTTAAAAGGCACAGTCAACTTAGTGTATGTAAACTTCTAACCCACTGGAATTGTGATACGGTGAATTATTAATGAAATAATCTGTCTGTAAACAATTGTTGGAAAAATTACTTGTGTGCCAAAACTATAGTTTGTTAACAAAAAATGTGTGGAGTGGTTGAAAAATGAGTTTTAATGACTCCAACCTAAGTGTATGTAAACTTCCGACTTCAACTGTAAGTAGAAATGTAAAGGAACATAGTGCTACTGTTACTACGGGAGAGCTCATCTTTCCCTGGTCTGTCCCCACTACCCATTGCCCTCCAAATCACCTGTCCACAGTCTATTTGATGAGGAGTCTCCCTCGTCTCCTCCAGCCTGCCAGCTGCCTGACTGGACAGTGTTAGAGACCGTAATGGCTGCCCAGAGAGCCTCCCTGAACTGGACCAAAATGGCTCCTGAGTTGACCATGAGAGGGCACTTTTCCTAGTGTAGATGGAAACAAAGCAGCTACATCTACATGAAAGGAGAATCCTGACAGCATTTTGCAAGGTTTATTCTTTCTGGACATAGTTAGATATGACTATTCACTCTGCATTGACAGTTTCATAGAGATCTTTCTTGGTTAACAGGTGGATATGAGATTCTCCCCTATGGATAATTCATTTTAATAAAGGCATTTGATCTTTATGGTAAGAGTGCCTTGAATGAGCTATGTCCATATAGGTTTATCGTTCCATTTTATGACGATATTAGTGTCATTAAAATACATTCATTAGTAAAATATGTTCTATCTTTGGGAGCAATTCCTTCAGAGTGGCCTATTCCATTGAGAAAATCTCAGAGTGGTTTAAATTTCTATCTGGGTCACAGGCATCTGTTCCGACACCATCGTTCCCCCCTTTCCCTCCTCTTAAAACTCTTCTTCCTTCTTTCATTTCACGCACTCCTTGGCTCAATTAGGAAGTCCCCCTTCCTCCTCTCCCCTCTCTATCCCTCCATCCCATCGGAGCTTTGCTCTCCTAATGCGCAGCATCTCTGAGACAGACAGACAGGGAACCTTCAAAGTGCCACTCGAAATAAACCGTGTGTACGTAGCTAACGTGCATAAATCAGTAAAGCTAAATCTGCCGGCGCCTCCCCCCCCCCCCCCCCCCCCCCCACCCCACCCCTCCTCCTCCTCCACCCCACCCACCCACCCCTCCACCCCACCCCATACACCCACCGCAAAACAATAGTGCCAACCCCAACGACTGAACCGACAAATACCTCGATCAGCAGGAGAGAGAAGAAGAGAGACGCTCGACTGACAAACAACAACAACGGCGACAACAACAACGGAAGAAGAAAAGATGAAAGGGAAAACGAGGCCTCCAAATTCAATTACAATGAAGGCTGAAAATAGAATTAACGGGGGCACCGTTGTCAACAGGCTGCTCGGCTACTGTTGTGCACCGCCGTTAGCTTTATCGCTAACCCCGTTTGGAACACATGCCACGGCGAGAAGGGACTATTTCCATCACAATGGCCATAGAGAAGAGACTGTCACACGGTGTTCTATTCTTCTTGGCCGTGATGCATGGACTTCTGTCCCGGTGCTGACGGATGGATCTAGCTTTTCTCTGCAGGTGACAATAGAGCCAAGGTGTGTGGGTTGGATCACCACGGTGACAGGGGATGCCAGAGTGGAGAGAGGGGCCGCATCACTCCTGGATATCACTCCACAGAGGCGAGCGTTTTGACTTTGATTCAGTGGAGTGGGTCTACTTTCTCTGTTTACCTTTGACAAACTTTTTTTGATCAAAAAAGTCCTCCAAAATACCAATAATTGGAGCCAGAGAATGAGTCACCTGAAACACTGTGAAACATTCATCAGTGTCTAAGAAAATAATATTTATTACAAAGACAATTAACCCATAATTAACCAATTCCTTGTCTTCCAGGGTGGTGGTTCTACCAGCGTGAACAGATCAAGCTCAGTATAATCAGGGATCAGAAACAGAAAATGTCTTCCTTGGAATAACCATGGTGGAGGTGGAGTTGACATGACCACAGTAGAATACAGTGGAGAGAGATACCAAGTGAGAGTTTTTGAATTGGCAACAAATACCCTCATAATTTAACCAGCATATTAAAGGGATTGTTAAATTTTTTATTGTATATAATCATGAGGAGTGCTATATATTACATTGTTGGTTGGCATATTCATCTGCTGAGTCATAGGTGTGTGTGTGTGTGTGCATATTTCTGTCTGTGTGTGTTCGAGAGCCAGGGGTTTCCCTTCAGCCACCTACACACAGCTGTAGCATTGAGGCATAAAGCTCTCACTGTTTCCATCCAACCCTGCCCCGGTGGGGCCTACACACCCAGTGGCTATATCCACATTACTACCCCCCAAATACAGCTAGCTACAGCCAGTTAGAGCAGTGAGACAGCTATTCTCGCCTGATGGTGGGATTTCAGCCCACGTAGACATGAGGTTGTTTGCTTAAGGACAATCACTGCTCTCTCTCTCTCTGCCTTAATTGCCTGGAAACTTTGCAAGTGTACACTAAATATGTATGAAGCGTTTACACGGAGGTACATAGATATTGCATTTTCCTCTGCGGGAAAAGGCCAATTTGAGAGATAATAACTTTGGGTTGTGGGTTCGAGTCCGTTATGGGTTGAATGTATGTTACTTAACCTTATATAACAGCCATATTATTTGAGTCTCTCACTTTCTCTCTCTTTCCACTGTATTCCTTTAGATCAACTTATACTTTAGCCCTGTTATCCCTCCACTGTCCCTCCCTCCCTCCATCCCGGTGGTCCTACCTGTGGGGAAGCGTTCGATAACGGGCTGGCTGTCCACCTGCAGGGTAGCGTTGCCGCCGCTGCGCGTGAAGCGCACCACGTGGTATTTGCCGTCGCTCACCATCACCGCGCTCTCCTCGATGATGATGTCATCCGTTCCCACGTTGAAGATGACGCCGATCCTTCCCCGTTCCTAGAAGGAAAGAGAGAGAGAAAGGAGCTTAGCGGGAGAGAACATCTTTCATCTCTGTTCAAGAGTGGATCGGTGAAAGGTGTGTCCAGAGTCTGGATATGACCAACCAGATTTCGAACCCAGGTCGAGGTCATCGGATGCAACTTTAAACCATGTTAACCTACTAAGCTAAAGCCTACAGTTGGCCTTAGCTCTGGGAGCTATCAACCACATCATCTTTAGATCTCAGGAAGGATTACTCATCACTTTTGTGTAGTTAACCAAACCGCGTCTACTAAACATAAATGAAAGAAATATGCCATTATATTTCCATCAAGTGTAAAACAGTTTTCAACCTATACACTCTACAGTATGACAGGTACAGTGCAGTGGCCAATGGACAATGTTCCAGTGTGTGTTCTGATCACTGTTGGGGCATAACGGTGTTCAGTCATGCGTGAAGTATAGACTACTTGTTGAGGACTGCGCCACCTTTAGCATTCATCACCCTCTTAACCACCTCCCCTCTCACATTTATTAGTGTTGACAGCCTCCTACTGCTTTGAGTTTATTACATTCTACCCCCCTCTCTCTCTTTCTCTCCACTCCTCCCATCCCTTTCTCCCTCTTTCACCCTCCTTCTGCGCCTCTCGTCCTCTCCTGTCCTCAGTCCCCAAGAAAGGTCAAAGTCATTTACAGAGTTACTCTGGCTGCCACGGGGGGATGGTGGGAGAGAAAGAGAGGGGGAGAAAAGGAAAGAGAGGGAGGTAGAAACACGATACACTACAGACAGATACTACTCCACTCTTCACTCAAAAAAGGTGCTATCTAGAGCTTAAAAGGGTTCTTCGGCTGTCCCCATAAGATAACCTGTTTGGAACCCAAAAGAGTTCTACCTGGAACCAAAAAGGGCTTTACCGGGAACCAAAAAGGGTTCTACCTGAAACCAAAAAGGGTTCTTCTACGGGGACAGCCCTTTGGAACATTTCTTTTTCTTAGAGTGTAGCTTCTGTTGTGCATGTTCACTGCTGTGACTATCTAATGGCAGCCGGTGCCCTTCCCATTGGCCGCTTGTCCGTGCCTTTTCCAACAACACTTCCTGGTTTGACACGAGAGGTCAAGCTCATTTGCTGTGGGGGTCGCAGTGCACGTCGCTATCGTTCCGCTCTAGACCTCCTCTCCGCCGCCATCTCCATTGATCGCTTTATCTAATTAGCTATGTGCATTTATTTAGTCGAAAACCTTCCCCGCGTGCCACGATATTGTGAGGTTAAATTATGGCTTTAGCTTACAGCACTGTTTTAATAATTCATGCTCAATTAAATATTTTAGGAACATTTTAAAATAGCTGCTAAAATGTTAAAGGGACTAAAGTATCAAGTTCATTGAGTAAATAAGAGTGAGAGGTTGGGATGTAAATTTATGAGTTGTGTAATCACGGTTACATTTATCTAACACACACATTGCTGGGATAAAACAGCCATGTTATTTAACGAGGAGCGCGGTTGGGTGACAGTGACGATTAAGGCCCTAATTGAGTGTGCTCAAACGGTGGTGTCACTGGATGTGTTCAGAGCGGGATTAATACCTTTAAAGGCTCAACAGGGGCTTAGCCAACTGTATCAGTCAAACTGTCTGTCAGAATAATAAAGCTAGTTCATTTTGAATAGGCATCTGTATTTGACGGTGTTAGCTACTGCACCTACTATCACTGAGGCTTAAATACAGTAGAATTAAAAAATCCATTGAGTTTGTTGACATTACAAAGGAACTTTGATGGGTGAAGACTGATGGAGTGTTGATCTAAGCCCCTTAGGGATGTCAATCTTAAATCCTCCTTGGCACTTTATCAATCAATTAAAGTTATTGAATGACCAGAGAGTCCATATAGGACTACCTGGCTTCTTGTGTCTAAACCCAATATTGATTAATAAAAACAAACAGAAATTATGGCAATTGAAGATTGGAGTTTGATGTCCCTTTAATGATCATACCACCTTTTTACTCCCAGAGGAAAAAAAAAAAATGGCAGCAGTTAGCCAAATGCTAACACAGTGCAGTGAACAGTAGGTAATGACGTCTCCTGCCTCACCACTGCCCACCCACAATGAAGCACTAACACTAATTGCGTTACCTTTTTCCTCGAGAATTAATTACATTTTCCACTAGGCAATCATTTTATTTGGGAAATGAATCCCTAGTATTAGGGTATTAGCGGAGGGGAAAGCGCACGGGGGAAAGAGATATTTACAGAGAGATTAGCATTTATGTTCCGCAACATTAGGGCTTCTTCTCTCTCGCCTGCGCTGAGGAATGTATCGACCCCATTACACCAAGCAGCCGACGGGAATCGCTGTTTTTTTAAAGATGATTTCTGTGTTGCTGTAATATCCTTTTAATGGCCGTTCCCTTAAGCGAAATATCTCTGGAAGAAAAAAAGGCCCATAATCCCCTATGACTGGGAGCAGTCATGCCCATACAGTAACCGTGAAATGAAGGGAGAGGAGAAAGGGAACATGGCTTAGGTAAAGTACTGTAGTAACCAACAATAAAAATCAAATGCCTTTTAAACATGAAAAGCTTAAAAGACAGTTAAGACGCCTCCTAATTTGTTTTAACTGGGAGTCTAATGGGCCCTATTGCTTGGTTTTTATTGTGCTGGTCCCAGTTGTTAGTTAGCTGGGTCAATCATGTGGATCGGTAGGCGGCCGTTGTGTTCTTGGAGGGACCGGAGTCCTGTTGGGTTTATGAATGCTTTTCGATTAACCACTGATTTAAATCTAGAGCATCAAGGATGTACCATCACACCCTTTTAATGACTTCAATTAAACAATCAAAGCACTGGGATGGTATGGAGAAGGCCTAAAGAACTTCACCTAGAGTTACTACACAGCTCTCTGGGGTGGGCTACAAATTAGAGTTAAAAGCTTCCTGCAGTTTTAGGAGGATCCACAAGTCTCTTATTCCAAATGTGGTTGCGTAATGCTAAACGTTTTGGTTTTATGCTTTTATTTTGTGTGCAGTAGGGTTTTAGAGTAAGCTGTTACTGTTCTAAGTTATAAGAATGGCCAAGTGTTGTTCCTGAACACCTGATCTGACTAGTAAAAACTCTAAGCCCTAGTTAAAGCCTTTTTTCAAGCAATAGATACTTCACATTTGGTGTCAGAAATGGGAAGAGTAGAAGTAAAAACCTAGGCTACAGAGAGCATTTCAGAGGGGAAATTTGGACATGACCTTGCAGTGTGTGAGTGTGTTGAGGTAAGCTGGGCATACGGAGGGGAATGTGAATGAGTAGTACCAGACAGAGGCCCCTGTGTGTGTGTGTGTGTGTGTGTGTGTGTGTGTGTGTGTGTGTGTGTGTGTGTGTGTGTGTGTATTAGTGCGTGCTAGGCTTATCAGTCAGCCTCCAAGAGGGTTTACCATCGATCAGAATAAAAGAAAGGGTGAGAGAAAGACATGAAGAGAGAGAAAGTGCGCAACGTAGAGAGCGGACGCAAATGATATAGAGCACGGAGAGCGAAATAGCAACACTATGATAAAAAGAAAGAGGGGAACCTTGATGATCTTCAAGGGCCTTGAGGTGCACTGTGATCAAAGAGTCTTTTGAAGATGTCAAGATGGCTTTTCTCTCCCCACTAAACATATCGGTATAGTCAATTAAGAAGGAGAGACGGGGAAAAAAAACTGACAGAGAGAAAGGAGGGCTGCGTTTTTCAGGGATTTGTTTCCTGCGTTTTTTTTCTAAGTGGCTCACGGATAGAACAACGGCTCCATCAGTATGACTGACGGTCTCCTCTCTCATCCCCCTATCTTTATCTCCCCCCTCCGCTACTCCATCTCTTTATTCTCCGCAGTCTAAGTGTGATGCCAGAAAAGACATGAAAGACGTGTAAGGATGAATGAAGGAGCCAATCATGACTGCCAGAAAACTGCCAGGGAGGTTAATGGGGGATTGGTAGAGTGTGGCAATAATTTAGTTGATTAATTATAAAGGAATAATTTAGCAGAATTGATGTTTTTCAGTAGAATCAATGGAAAACACAGATTTACAGACTGGAATTAGGTATGTGGATATATTGGCATGTAAATATTAATGAAGGGGTTTGATTGATCAGAACCTTCAATTCTTAAAATTAATCACTGTGTTCCATTCACATAAGATAGGCGTCATATTGTTTTCACCCCGAGGGCTGGATTGATATAGCATACAATGCCATATTTACATGGCATTGTATGCTATGGCAGGATAATAATGCTAATGAATTCATGAGGCTAATCCGAACATATGAGGGATTGAGTTAGTCAGGGCCTACTGTTTTAGGAGGGTACAGTACATATAGCCCTGGTTTATCTCCGTCTCTCTCTCTCAGTCAGAATATACAGCAGTGTTTACGTAACCACAAGGAATAGGTTGTTATGTAAGATATGGCCATATACCAGCAGCTAAACCCTTTTAACATTCACAGCCCAGCTAAAACACATCAAGGACTGTCTCTGACGGATGTTGTCCACCCGGTAGACCACAGGGTGTGGGGAACAGGTCTTCCAGATAAGGGGGGAAGGCTGACAGGTGGTGGTGGGGGAAACGAGGGGGGGGGGGGGGGGTCTGGAATGTGAGTGTGCCTCTCACTCCCCCCTCTCTCTCTTATTCACTCTCTCTGCTCGGCTCAGTCAGCCTCATTTGTATGTGTTTGCAGTAATCTGCGGCAGTCACCTTGAGAAAGTTGCCCCCATCTCCTCATCTTAATAGAGCTTTATCTCTCTCTCATTCTCTCCCTTCCCCATATCTCTTACAGTCAGTGCTTCAGCATCTAACCAACCCCTGCTCTGTGAGACAACGACATGAAACTCAGGCTATGATAAAGGATCCCATTTCGTTACAAATCAATCTGTCAGAGAGGCTGGGAGAGAAACGATACTAGTGTGTGTATGTGTGTGTCTGTGTGTGTGTGTGTCGGTTTGAAAGATAGAGAGAAAGTGAGAGAGTGTGTATGTGTGACAACCTGACTTCCATGAGTCACACTAGGCATGCCCAGACGTCCTATACTTCCTCTGGCACTGATCCAAGATGGTACAGCAACATTTATGCTAATCATTCTAATAGATATACATCAGTCATAATAAATAGGAACTTGTAATCCTGACAGTGTTGCCAACCATCAGCCTTCCCCCATTCATTCCCTCCAGTGTCAGTCCTTGACCTCAGCACAGATCACACGTGCATACGCACAGTTGGATCATTACTGCTGGGTACTAGTGATCTGAGCCCGTGAGACTGGTGATTGATGATGTCCTTCAGCTCATGACCCACTGGCCCTGTAGGACAGAACCCCCTCAGACACACCTATTATGAAAGCGTGTACTATACACATACTGTGAACACACACGTGCACACACACAGAAAAACTGAAGACAATAAACAAACATGAAAGAACCCCAGCGTCCTTGAGTGGAGGTTGTTGTTGCAGTGGGGCAGAGGGTGGTTGGACACACACAGAGTGTGTGTCGATGTGTGTGTTTGTAGTGCCTGCGTGTGCATACATGATTGTGTGTGTGTGTGATTGTGTGTGTGTGCGTGGTGCTCAGGGTTTGTTGACTATGTAGAGTTTGCGCTGCGGCTTGGCTACACCTGAACACACACAGCGGAAGTGTTGAATGGCTGACATGCTGGTTGTGTTTTGTCTGGGACTGTGTGTGATCATGCGAGACTGGCTTGGAGCTGCCGACATGGATCAAAACTTCAGGGTTTGTGTGTGTGTGTTTCTCTGAGTGTGTGTCTGAGTATTTGGGTCTGTGGGTGTGTGTTCAGTGTGTGTGCGCATGTGTACGGTATGTGTGTGGCTATGTGTGTATGTGTGTGTATGTAAAGTTAGTGTGTGTGTGTACAGTTGGTGTGTGTCTGCGTTCGATGTGTGTGTGTGTGTGTACTGTATTAAGAACTAAAATCATACGTAATTTGGACAGCTGCGTGATTAAGTTCTGGGTCTATTAGTGTTAATTTCACCACATGCGCGAAGCAGACATTGTTTAAGCTTTGTGCATGTGGTACGTCTTGGTACGTCCAAATAATCAGTGACGAAAACCCAAACTCCGGAACTACTGCTGCGCGTTATCCTACGCATTCCATCCTGTTGCGACAGATTCTATCCACGGGAGCTTATAATTTATGTGTACCAGTGTGTGTGTGTGT